TATTCCAGTGGGACATGAGCCCAGTCAGATGTTTGAATTGAATCTCTGCTCTCCTCTACAGCTGGCTATTTCTGTGTGTATGTACTGTACTGGTACCAGAAAAAGGGTGTACGGTTTCAAGCTGGTCAGTTCAAGCAGGCTGACAGGGAAGCAGGCCAGGGAATGACAAACTCAGGACATCTCTGCATGAAAAAGTCTTAACGTTTCTAAGGAACTTCATAGCAAATTCCAGTTGTACCAAAGCTTCCCTATTGGAGCAATAAACAGCTTTCAGAGCTTTTCTGATTATTGTTGTATAGGATATCCAATGCTGCACTGAAGCATCTGACTTTGTAAAGGCTGACAGCCATGACTGCTGCAAATTATAAATGTTACTTACCTTGTAGAGCTCACCCCAGATTCTTTTGGACTGTCCTTTCCGATATACATCCTCTTGTGCTTCATCCCTGGAAGTAGATTACCAGGGACATCAGCAGCCACAGTAACAAGGTTACAGTGTTGTCTTCTCTACAGCCATTGACAGACAAAAGAGGAGATGGGGCCCAAGTAACAGACAGCTGCGATTCAGCTCCCTCTCCCTATCCCTTGCAGAAAGATCCTACAAACATGCCCTCTTTCAAAGATCCCTACCTGTCCACTGGTTAGACCCTTATCTAACCCAAAACGCGAGGATGGAATTATGAATAAAGCCACAGGAATCTCACGGAAACAACAATTTGGTTAAATACACAGGGCAAAAGAGGATTAAAAAAATGCCAAATTCAGCTAATTTCACTTTCCCTCCTCATACAGAAACAGTGTCCATGGGTAGACTAGATACTTCTTTAAAAATGAAGCTGGCTTTCCAGACATGGAAACAACAAATCATTTCTCCTTTCTAGTTACCTTACACCAGTGTCTTCTGTCACCAGGTCTCGGTCCTTGCCCTGATCATAAGCTCCTGATGAGGCTTCAGCATTCTCTACCAGAGACTGCACATCACTAGCAGAAAGATTTGGTCTTTTCCTTTGTGCCTTGGGGCCAAATGTTGTTTCAAATGTTTCTGTGTCAAGAATGTGAACTCTGGAAGTCTAAGGAAAAAGAGACTGATAAAAACCCCCACAAGCACCGTGTTTTCCATCTCTCGTGACATGCAGTGAACAAGACCTTAGTTCAGCTCAACTCTGCAACCTGTGACCAGAGTTACAGGCATTTTCCTAACAATGTTTGAGTTCTCCAGCTTAATCTTTGAAAAACATCACAGTGGATATTTAATAAGCAACAAAACACACTGCACTTGCCAAAGAGCTATGCTTCAGTTCTTTCCCCATAAATGATGTCAAATGTAATTAAAGCTACAATGATGAAAATTCAGCTGCTATCTTTGATCATTTCTTATTTTTCTAACAAGTGCACAAATCTGGCCAAATTCACAGATTTTTGTCAGAGGTAATTACAATCAAAACTGTAGATTTTAAAGCCTTGTAATGAATGCCAACTTTTCTTGGAACAGCATACAATTCATTGCTGAAAGAAGCAATTTGTTTTGGTAATGCACATTTTAGTTTCTTATAACTTTTCCCTTCATTTAAGCAACATTTTTATGACATAAACCTGGGAAGTTTCCATCTGAAAAAAAAAACAGCTCACATGGGTCCAAAATAATAGTTCAGACATCACGAAAGAAACCTGGTAATAACTAAAACCTGATGCACTAGAAATGAAGGCTGCATGCATGAGATAAAAAGCACATACCGGAGTTCAATTCATCACACGAGAGTGTCTGTGGTACAAAGGATCCTCAAAAGAGGTCCCTCTGTCACATGAATGATTAGAGGCATTACAGCAGAGGGTGGCAAGCTGCTGCAGGTATTCTAAGCAGGTCCACTGAGACCTGGGATGTTTAAGTTTTCTAATGAGAATTTCTAATAAATAATAGATCTTCTCCCAAACAAGGGGGAAGTAATGGACAATTTCTTTGGCTTCACATTCAATGTCTAATTCAATGTCTACAGCATTAGGCTCTCAAAAACATCCCTCCCCAAGTCAGCCGCTCCAACTGCACCTTCCGATGCTTCCAGAAGACATTACACCAGATGGAACAGAGGCAACTCAATTGTCCACAGATAAATCATAGAATGGTTTGTGTTGGAAGGGACCTTAAAGCTCATCCAGCTCCAACTCCTGCCACGGGCAGGGACACCTTCCACTAGAGCAGCTTGCCCCAAGCCCCTGTGTCCAACCTGGCCTTGAACACTGCCAGGGATGGGGCAGCCACAGCTTCTCTGGGCACCCTGTGCCAGCGCCTCAGCACCCTCACAGGGAAGAGCTTATGCCTAAGAGCTCATCTCAGTCTCCCTTTGTTCAGTGTGAAGCCATTATACTAAATATATCTGTACAAATGAACGATACCCACATGTGGTTTAATGCGATCATAGAAAAGAGACATCGGCAGCTTTTTTTGCTTCATGACCACTTTGTAAGGATCTTTCATGACATTTTCCATTTCCTCTTGAAACTTTTGTAAGGACGACTGCTTGATCACACGAGTATTTCCTGCATGTAAAAACACACATTGCACCTGACCATTGCTCAGCTTAACTGCTTCAGAGACCTGGGTAGCTTTGCCTGGAATCAGAGCTACCAGTGACAAGAAACAGAGGATTTTCCCTGAGATAAACCCCAAATAAGCATAAATAAGCCAATCCCTTTCATTTCAAGAAAACATTAAGAGTATCCCTGCGACACTTAACATACAGAAAACACAATGTGAGCAAAGAATAACCACCCTTTAGAGGAGCGTGTGGAAAGCAAACACCCAAAGTACAGGCCCACGTGTGTCCACACCCACGGGCCTTCACCTTTGTTTTCAGTTCCTGTCCCACACAGCACCAAGACCACAATTCTGCAACAAACAGACTCCAAACCCACAGAGTGCAACAGTTTTGAAGCTGCAGAGTCTGAAGTTGAAGAAACTCACCAAACCATTTAATATTTGGTTCCACTCTTGCAACGGTGCCTGGTGCCACTGTTGACTGATACTGTAGAGGCCTGATCACTTTACCGTATTTGTTTCTAAGTGAAAAATGAGAACACGTGTAAACATGCAAGAGCAGTAAACACACCACTAGCACTGCGGTTCACTAGACCACAAGTACATCCACAACACCCAGAAAGACCCTTCATGTAGAACTCGTGCTCCTGAGATCCTCAGCAGGGATGGTGCTGCCAGGAAAGGCCATTAAGTTAAACACCAGGACAGAAGTTATGACAGCTCAAGTCTCACTCCAGCTTTACCGCCCTCTTCATGATGGCTGCTTGTGTCAGACCACGAATGATTTACTGGAGTGCAAAAGGTACCAAAGTGCAATTCCTTCCCTCATGGGCTCATGTGGAACTTTTCAATTAGCTCTGCCCATCAGCTGGTGCAGAGCACTCATCAGAAGATAATTTCCAAGCTGAGATGTGGCTTAAATTCAGCAATTTTATTCTTTTTTTAATACCTATTCCCCAGGCTGCTCTCAAAACAAAGTGAAATCTGGCAAAACCAAACCACAACTGCCAATCTGAACCAGGACTCCCAGAAAGCCCCACAGCATCTACACCAGGGCCGAGGCACGTGTTTGCAAGGTGGGAGCTGCTCCATAGCCAGCGACAATCAAGTACAGTGAAGGGACATCTCACAGCAAAGGAGCCATTTGGAAGTCAGGCTTTTTGGACATTCTGAGGTGAACTTTTGGGTTTTGTTGTGGGAAATGAAAGAACTCTGGACATTTTGGGGTGCGTGACCCTCCGCTGAGATCACACCAGATGTTCTGCACCATGTGTTTTCCAGCTGCATTCCCTGACACACACCACAGCCCAAGACAAGGCTTCTCAGCTCATGGTGTGACAGAAAACATCACAGAGTGGTTTGGGTTGGAAGGGACCTTAAAGCTCATCCAGTTCCAACCCTCTGCCACGGGCAGGGACACCTTCCACTAGAGCAGTGCTTCTTTCTGCCACAGCCTGAGCGCACCAGCACCGGAGGCCACGCTGAGAAAGGCGCTCTTTGCCCAGCGAGGCCCCGGTGTCCGCACGGCACGGCCGGCAGCGGTATTGACCCCGCTGCCGTGCTCCCGGTACCAGGCCAGGGCCGAGCCCCGCTCACCTCCGCTCCTTCTGCCGGTACATGTTGAGGCGCCGGATGGTGGCCCGGTCCCGCATGTTGTTTCCTCCCTCGCCCCCCACGCGATCTGCGGACACAAAACAGCGCCAGGTCAGGCCCGCTCCAGCGGGGCCCGGCGTGGCCCGGTCCGCGTCCCCCCCCGCCTCACACACGTACCGGGGTTGGTGCTGGCGCGGGAGGGGTTGATGGTGCTGCGCCCCTTGTAGCGTGGCTTCACCATGGCTGCAAGCGGGGCCGAGCCGGGCCGGGCCGCGCTCACCACGGACGGGAGGAACCGAGCGGCCGCACCGGCTAGGAAGCGGCGGCAAACCCACTTCCGGCGTGCGGCGCTCAGCGCCATGACGCACTTCCGTTGAGTCCATCTTCCGCCTGCGCAGGCGCAACCGCGTCTGCCTTGCGGTCGCCATGGCAACGCTTGCGAGTGGCCCGGCCCCGGTGCCCCCCGCCGCTGTTTCCCCGTTGGGTTTCCCCGCTCCTGCCGCCGGTCTTCCCGGGGCATCCCCAGCTCCAGGCCGCCACCACCCGCCCTCGGAGGCCCCGTCCGGAGCGGAAGCCCCGGAGCCATCGGCCGGGCCGCTGCTGTGTGTGCGAGGCTCCTGCTGAGGGCAGGGGGGGAGGCCCGCAGGCCGGTTCAAAGGCAGAGGATGCTGTAATAGCGAGGGTGCTGGCAGAGCAGCCCTCATTGTTTGTGGCATGATGTTTGTTCACAGCAACATAATAAGAATCATTTGGGAGCTCTGCTTCCCGTGCGCGGTGAATGAGGGCGGTCACGGGAGGGTTTGCGGGTGTCAGGTGCTGGTGGGAGCACACAAGCACGAGGCAGCGTTGGGGTGTTCATGGGCACACAGGGTTACTGGCGTCTTAAACTTAGGAATAACAGCGCTGTTTTGGTGTGCATGTAAAGAAATGCACGGGCACTGCAGTATCTGAAGGCTGAGCCTCCGTCCGTGTTACTGCCAGGTTCTAACAGAGATTGAAAAGATCCTCACCTAGGGGGAATTAACAAAGCTCCACTGAAACGGTGTTAATTTAGACCAGAGATTGGGCTGGGGCCAAACTGCTCAACACATTCGGGAATCGTCCCCCAAAACAAAAGTCTAGCCCATTGTTCCTAAACCCTTATTAGCAGCAGAGCCTTCACGGCTTGTTCCATTTCCTCCCCATTCTGCTAATGCTCCTCTAAATCCAGAACAATAACAGAGCTGCTGAGATTTTGTTCTTCTAATGCTTTTCAGCGTTTTGCTTTTAGGTAATGCATAATACAACAGCCTCTTAATGAGACTTGGGAGATGTTTTGTAAGATGGAGGTCTCATGTTGAGCCTGTTTTGGTTAAGCCTATGATGTCTTTTGGGTGTTTTTTTTTTTTTCCTCTCTCTTACTAGAATTATCTGTGCCTTGGGCATTTAAAAAGCACACATTGATGTGGGCCTAAGAAATTAATGCCAAATTGCAGATAATTGTTGAAGCTATCAGACTTGAGGCTCATGTAGCAGAGTTTTCCCAGGACAAGTGTGTTTTCTATTAGAGTTGATATCAATCTGTCAGAAGATGCTTTTGATTTTCAGAGTTTTTAGACTAAATAGTTGAGTAATCCTTGCTCTGTTCTCCCCCACTCTTTCTTCCTTTTCCTTAAGAAAACACCCTTTTTATTGTTAGCAAGATAATCTTGGAGCACATCCAGAAAGCTGCTGTCTCTTTCTGTGAAAGAATAGAAATAGCTCGCTTTAGACATGAGGTTATGTCGTGGAGAACTTCTGTTGGTAATGCCGCAAAGTTACTTGCTGAATTCCCACATTGGAAGCTTAACAGGGAGGTCTCAGCACTGCTGTCCCCAACCCTGCTCGTGGTGAGCCCTTTCGTCCCGATCGGAGTGGGCTGCGAGCCTGGATTTGCTGTCACAAGAGCAGATTCTCCTGATAACATCTGGGAATTGCATTCAAATTGGAATCAATACATCCTTTCGGCTGCGCTGCCCTCTCTTCCCCTGGTTTTCCTGACCAAAATTGCATTGCTGGGGCTAAGAGTCAGTATTTAACTCGCAGGATCTCTGTAACTGTGGTGGTTTACTTGTGTATCTGTTCACATACCAGGCAGATATCCTACTCTACTCATTTTTTGCTGCTCTGTGACTCATGAGCCTTTGCTATGGATGCATCCCCCCATTTCGGTTTTTAACTTCTCTTTTCTTCTTCTTTTTGAGTTGCCTGCAGTGGGATCTTGTCCCTGCTGTGTACCCAACAAGACAGCGGGGTCGATGACGGAAGCCCAGCCTGTCAGATCTGCCGCACAGCCTCGGCTCCATTGGCATGACTGGCCTGAAATGAAATCACTTTGAGTTTTATGTGGCCTCTTCCTTGTCAAAATCCCAGTGAATGTGGTTATGTGATGCCATTGGAATGACTCATTGCCATAATTACATATGTTCTAAGGGGTTATTCCCATTGTATTCTTAAAAACTAGTGATGTTTGATTTTTGGCAGGGGCTGTCTTCCTTGTGTGATCTACAGATTTTGTCAATTAAATGAAGGAAAAGGAGATCTCCAAGGCTTCAGAGCAAGACTGGGCTTGAAATGAGAGCACTTCTTCAGCATGCAATTGAGCTACTTGGTTTTAACAGGGTAAAGGCAACATCGGCCATCTTACTCTCCCTGTTGCAGTGATTCCATGCAGAACACAAGGACAGAAGTGGGTTTCTTAGCCAGCCTTCAAAATCATCCCAAGCATGGCCAGAAGATACAGTAGATGGTTTATCACCACGGCAGTTTTCCCAGCTCAGCTCCTCAGGAATGGGTTTTCAGGGATAGAGCTCACAAGAGCTGAGGCAGGGCTCCTTGGCAACAAGCTCCAGGTTTGATGGCTCCTTAACAGAACAAAACAAAGTGATCCCAGATACGGTTGCCTTGGACCTGGACTTCCCAAAATGGTGATGGAAAGCAACAGGGGGAAGCTGGAGGGAGGAGAAATCTGATCTTTCTGACAGGAATGAAGTGGTTACTAGCAATAGAAGCTAAAGCATTTATGTACAAATGCTTAGTTTTGTGATTTTATTTTAATAGTCATGAAAAGTGATTTCTTTTGTGGAAAACCAAACATTAGCTTTGTGTGGCACAGGATTTGACATGGCCTTTTGGCCTAAATGCCAGGTTCTAACCAGGCATTTGAGCTTGTGTAGGAAATAACAATATATTATCTGCCCGACTGCCTCTGTTTTCCCACTAAGATCCTGCTACTCTTTGAAAATCATGGAGATTCTGGCAAGCAGCTCCATCTAAATGATGGTTTGGCATTCAGCTGGGTATAATATGTGTATAAATGCCATTGGTGTGATTTATTTATGGCGACTGGTTAAATACAGCTGGTATTTCTGTAGTTTTAGTAGAGATTTTAAACTGATTATACCTAACATCTCTCTCTGAGAGCACTATTGACTTAATACAATCTGTAAATACATGTAAAATCTCCCTTTTAGTGATCTCAGGCAATGTAATCCAAATAGTAGCATTAGGGGTAACCTGTTTCCCTATCCTACTCTGTTTCCTTTAATCAAAGCAGAGATTTCTTCTGAGTGAGAAATCTTTTTAACATAAACATGAGCTAAAAAGTGTATACATTGCCTCCATCTCCATGGGGGTAGAAAGCTGGTAAATTCTTGTTTGAGGAGTATACGTGCACCCATTTAACTTGACTGTAGCTGATGAAAACTACAGATTTATATTACACAGAGAGGGTAAGAACATAATACAACCGACCTGTCTTTGGGGGAATTTGTCTGCTTTAGCTCCTAAATCTTCATGAATGAGATAGAAATTAAACAGTTCCAAACCCATGATTGTAAGCTGTTAACATTTTATTCCTCGCCCTTTACCCCCATTGCATGGGATGAATTACCCCAAAGGCTCTCTCTTTCTGGACACTTTTGGTTAGAGCTGGGATTTCCCTGCAGTTTTGGGTGAATAAAGCAAACGAAGCTTGTTCAGCAAACCCATGTATTTATTTATTTGTTTAAAGAAGCATATTTTACAGTGATGCCATGGAGAGAACACCACAACAGATCTTGTTTGGTGGGCTGAAAGAGAGCGTTCGTGTGCATGGGAGTTGGGATGACACCAGCCTATGTAAGGAAGTCTCTGGCTTGGACTGTTGAGCTCAGTGCACAAATCACCTTGGTCAAAGGCAAAATGTTTCTAAATTCAGAAGTGAACCAGCACAAATCTTGAGCTGATTGAATACCAAGAAATTGGATTTATTTTTAATCCTTTTTTTTCCCCCCTAATTTTTCTAAAACAATTTAATTTCAATATCACCCATACTGAAAAAATCGTGGATATTCTTAATATGCATTTTAAACTTTCCTTTGCCTTTGTCCCTTTTTCTTCCCATTTTGCTATGAAAAGGGAAGAAAGAAAAGGCCACAACAGAAAGTAGTTTGTCAGTTTATCTAGAAAACTCTAGAGAGTTCTATAGAACAGGTTGTGTTGATCTGTTACATGCAGTTCAGTTTTGAAATCATTGTGCTAATATTGCCTTGAGATACGGAAGGGAATCCAGTCGGTTAACAGAGCCTCTGTGTATCAAACCTTCCTAATGCACTCTCTCTTTCCCCTAATCCTTGTTGAGAACTGGACAGAGATACTGCAGCAGGAGGGAGGAAGGAGTTGTTTATGAATTAGCAAGCTGAGGTTCATGAAAGGGTTACTGATTATTGCTGCTAAAAAGCGGAAGGGAAAAACGGTTCTGCTTACATGCAACACCCTGGCACAAACAAAATACTCATCTCACAGGCTAGCTGAGGCTGGAGAATCAAGTGAGAGCGGATCTTTCAGCTGGGAGGCTTTCAGGAATCGTTTGAACATGATCCATAAACAACTCGAAAGGATGACTTTGAAGAACCTCTTTCTCTCCCTGCTTGGAATGCTGGTCGTTTATCATTGTGCTGAAATGGAACCCCCTTTAAAAGATATAACGGCTTCTTGTTTACTTAAACACAAAGTGGATGATGGGCTGAAAGGTTCTGCTGCCAGCAGAGCAGTCACGGAGAGCTTGGTACAGCTCCGGAGCAGGAACAACTGTGCAGCTCCCACGTCCTGCACTGAGCCGAGCCAGCCGGGGTGAAGGGGGCAGAGTTCAGGTGTCCTCCGCCGGTGCCGAGTCCTCAGTGCGTGCCATGAACCACCAGCGGAGGTGGTATTCACCAGGTTTAGCTTTGGGGTGAGCTTTTCCCTGCCCATCACCTCACCAGGGGAAGTAGGAGCTTCAGCAGCACGTCACTGATCCACCCCATGCACATCCCCACTCCATCCCTCAGGACCAGAGGGCTTTTGCTGAACTCTAGAGGAATGAAACGGCTGCACACGTTTATATGGAGGAAGCACGTTTTACACCAGAAGGGAAACTGAGCAGGATGCCACCTCGTGCCACTGCTGAGGGTAGAGCTCTCCATGCAGGGAAGCACACGGGTCTCACTACGCCTCCATCCCGCACGGTCCTCATCCCAGTTCCTCGACCCAGTTGCCGGCTCTTGCCGCGCAGGAGCGCTTTGTGCTGAATGCAGGGAATTCCAGCCGTGCAGACCGGGAGCTCCTACCAAACCTAGCAGTGTGCTTCTCTTCTGCAGAGCCCAAACTGTGCTTTCCCCCTCCTGCCTGCCTCCCCTCCCGCTACGTCCCTGCGTGGTGTCCGGACAGAAGGACAAGCGCTGTCCCTAGCCCGAGATGGAGTCCTGCTGCTGTGAGTGGAGGAGCGGAGTCACAGCGCTTCCACAGCCTGTTGTAACCTTTCCTTTTCTCCAGCTGCTGCATGTTAACAGCATCCTTCGGAGGGGGGGGGGGAATTCCTCAGGGGCTCTGTGGAGCACAGCTGGGGTCCTGCGGGCACAGGACGGCTGGTGGGTGGCTGCAGTGCAGCTGGCAACGTAATCTGGGCTTTTCTTAGAGCTTTGGTGAGTTTCCCTTCCACAAGTGGCCTCCATAGGGGCCAAGGCATGAACCACACACTCAGGAAGCTGGTTGTCATTTTGGGGTTTTTGGGTGGTTTCTTTTTTTGTTTGTTTTTAATTGGAAATAACTCTTTTGAAGCAGATTCAGGGCAGATACCACTGACCTCTTACCACAACCGTTTAACATGTATTCCCAATGATAAAGTCATACAGCTTAAAACACAAAAGAAAGTGTGGGGGGAAGAGAAAGAGGCCACTGCCTTTGTGTGAGTCGGGGTCCCAGGCTGGGGAGAGCGGCCACATGGGTCCAGTCTCATCCCTGTGGCTGCAGCCGTGCTGCACTTGGGGCCGTCCACCCGGTCTCGAGTTGAGGCCTTTGGTCATGAAGTCTCTGGGTCCTCTGCTGACTCGTACTCCATCTCTCCTCCCCGCAGCGTGCCTGTGGAGCCATGGGGAGATGAGCATCCCTCCGTGCTTGCTCCCACTCCTCTTCTCAGCAGCGTACCTCCATGGTCCTGGGTGGTGTGGGTGTGTGCAGCCTCCTTATGCATTGTGTATGTGGTTTCTGTTGGGTCTGTGGGTCGGTCGGGGAGTATATGTCTGTCTTTCTGGACATGTGTATGTGTTGTGTAGCAGTGCTCTGGTTCAATAAAGCTTTCATATACATAGCAGCAATGAAGTCTTGCCATCAGGTGACATAAAGGGGCAGCTACTGGGCAGGGCTAGCGGATGTGGTGAGGACCGCAGCCCCTCTCTGTTTGCTCTTCCTCTTCCTGGTGCCAGACTTAGCGTCTTTGGTGTCTTTCCGATTCCTGTTCCCATTCGCATTATCTTGCTTTCCTTGCTCTTCCTTCCTCTTCCTTTTCCCTGCAGCAAAGCAAAGAGGCACCATGAGGCTCTCCAGCAGAACCCAGCTAGCCCATAGCCCACTGCTGCTGCTGGTGGCCAAAAGGTCCTGCTCCTCTCCGCGTGCACGGAGGTGCTTGAGTGCTGCCCTATCTGCCAGTCTGTGCTCTGCACTGTGAGCTGCTGCCTAAACACAAACGGGGAGGAAGGGTCAAATCTGGATTTAGCTTTGTAATTGTCAGTCTCCAGCAGAAGTGTGAACACTTGCACTTCTCCGGGGCTGCATACCAAGCCCCTGAGCTAATGCTGCTGCGTACATCAGAGGAACAGCTTGGCCACAGTGGTGTTAGTCACTGCTCTCAGCACTCAACCCAGCTGCAAATCTTGTCCATCCCATCAGAGAGTGACCAAACCACCATTCATCCCGAAAACACTCAAATTCCTGGGAAAAACACAGACCTAAGCACTCTGGGAGAGGAGGAGATGAGTCCCACCACTGCAGCGCACAGGCATCCAGCTTTGGCTGGAACTGGGTGATCCCAAGGTCCTTTCCAACCCAAACCATTCTATGACTCCATGCGCGCTCACCTTCGGGGCACTGGCTCTTCTGCACCGTGCATCGCCGCACCTCCGTGGTGGCAGGACACAGGGACACGTCTCCGGAGGGAGCCTGCAGAATCCGCCGCGTTCGGTCTTCGTTGCCCTTCTTGAAGCCACAGAGCTTCCTCTTCTTGGAGCAGGGCCCCCAGGGCCCCCACTCACTCATTTCACATTGTGCTGCCAGGTAACAAGAGAGGCCAGTGGTGACTCTCGTTTCCCTGCCCCATCGGCTTCTCCCCCACTTTAGGCTTGGATAGATAGAATCATAGAATAGGTAGGGGTTTTCCAACCCTTAAGATCATCCAGTTCCAACCCCCCTGCCATGGGCAGGGACACCTCACACTGAACCATCTCACCCAAGGCTTCATCCAACCTGGCCTTGAACACCACCAGGGATGGAGCATTCACAGCTTCCTTGGGCAACCCATTCCAGTGCCTCACCACCCTAACAGGAAAAAATTTCCTTCTTATATCCAGTCTAAACTTCCCCTGTTTAAGTTTGAACCCGTTACCCCTTGTCCTGTCACTACAGTCCCTAATGAAGAGTCCCTCCCCAGCATCCCTATAGCCCCCCTTCAGGTACTGGAAGGCTGCTGTGAGGTCTCCACGCAGCCTTCTCTTCTCCAGGCTGAACAGCCCCAGATGTGCATTTCCCCAGCAGGTTCCTAAGTTTTCAAGCACCCCCTTCCTTGCCACTGTCTCTGAGGGGTTTGTTTTATCCCCTAACCCACACTCCATCAGTTCATGCGACTGGACCCAGCAGATGCCCAAGCATCACTTACCAGGACTGCTGCACTCCATGGTGCCGTTGGCAGCAGAGTAGCCTTCGGGGCATGTGACGTAGCATCTCCCTTTGTGCAAATACAAACCTTCCTTACATTTTGTGCAAAAGTTTCGACTGAAACAGGACTCACAGTTCTCAATTTTGCATTCTGTGGGGGAAAAACAACCAACCACAAAGGCATCATGAAGCCTGATGTGAACAAACAGCTCAGGAAGCTCTTGACTGCTAAGCAGAGTTCAGTCCTGGCCCCAAGGGCTCTGCCAGCAGCCATGGCAAGTCTCGGAATGTCCTGCCAGGCCTGGCTGTGTCTTTGCATCCTTCCCTGGTACAGGACAGAGCTACTGTGCTGAGGCTCCCATAGGCAGCAGCAGCTCCTGCCAGATCCAAATCAGGATCAGGGTGGAAAAGGTTTGGGCTGATATTCAGCTTGAGCAACACTCAGCCAGAGTGGGACAGTGCAAAGAATGAAGTCCAGTGCCAACAGCTCCAGCTGAAGCTACAATATGGGCTGCAAAGAAAGGGGGTTAGATGGAAATCTGGCCACGAGGGTGGTTTGCATGAAACTGAAAGGAAGTGATCCTATTTTTCCATGTCCAGCTTCTTTCTGTTGCTCTGGCTGAAAGAGGCAGCCCCAGGCCAAGGATCGTGGTTCAGAACGATGCTTGGCTATGATGAACGGGCAGAGGAGGTGGAAAAGGTAATTGTGCGAGCAGTACCTTAAAAGCAGAAAGCATCTTCCCCTTCTCCCCGTAGAGAAGGAGGGGGTCAGTCTGACAGCATAAATTATGGGGTTATTCCCTGGGTTAATTGGTACCTTCTGCCCTTTGATACAGGCAGAGCATCTCACCTCGCTGGAGGCGGCCCCTCAAAGCAATGCCACCCTCCCACATTGCACCCATTCCCTCCCATACTCACTGATGCACTTGTTCATGTCTGTATTGCGAAGGCCAAAGTATCCCAGGGGACAAGACGGTAGGCAAATCCCAATTTGCCGGATATCATTCCTCTCCAGAAGGATGAAGAGTTTGGGGGAGCATCTCAGGCACCCATTGAACTCGGAGCACAGGTCGCAGCCTCTGGCACAGCCCTGACTCAGCTCGGTGCTAACTGGAAAGGCAAGAGGAGAGGCAGTGATTAGTGCCTGTGTGCATGGCTGGGCTCTGCACGCGTTGGGGTTGACCCCAAAACACCATCAGGAAGGGCAGGGACCGAGGCAGGCCAAGGACCTGATGTGCTCCCAGCACCGCTCCCGATGCCCACAAGCACCAGCATCAAGCACGGGAGCGAGGGTCCCAACAGCAGCAGCAGCAGCACCCAGAAGCAGCCACCAGCTCAAGAGGGTCCCAGCTCTGTCTCCCACCATGCAGACACCCACAAGGGGACGCGTGTCTGGGGGGGACCAGTGCATCCCTGCCATGTCCCCTCTTGGAGCAGGCGGTGCCACCCCGGCTGAGCCATGGGCACGGTGCAGGACAAGCGGGGACCAGAGCCAAGGGGTGCTGGAGCAAAACCATCTGACTAATTCTGTGCTGTGCTTTGAGCCAGGCCACATCCCGAGCTAGATCTCGCTGTGACCCTGCTTATGTTAACTATATCTGGCAGTGCGGGAGATTTCACTGCCCCCAAAATAGAGATGTGTTCTCAGCTCCTAAATCCAGTCCAAGAAAAATACTCAATCCCATGTCTTGAGAGAGTTTTCTGCTTTTAATTATCATATAAAAATGCTGCTTGTTTTGAAACCAATAGCATTCTTTGCAGGCTAGAATGCAGGTTATTTTTATTAGTTTATTATGCAAGCAGTGTCCTTGTTTATAGAAAAGCTGTGGATTTAAAAAGATGTATTCTTTTAAATACCACGTTTATTACCCCTCCAAAGCAAGCGCAGAGCATCACAGCGTTCACATGCCAGACCAAGAGGTAGCAAAACTTTCCTCTCCCCCTCCAGTGACCCGAGACCCCAGCAGCTCCCCTGCTGCCTGTCCCAGCCCCATCGCTGGGTCCTCCCTCAGGCATGGAAAGTGACACAGAAAGCAGAGGGGGTCCCCATCCCGGCGGATCCTCAGTGCAAGGAGGTTTGCTGGGTCTGCTCTGGGATGTCCCCTCGGGATTCTGGGCCCTGGCCCCTACTGTGGAGTGATTCCCAAGGGATGCGGCCCCATTCCTCCTGCAGTGCTGGGCCGCGGAGCCAAGGTCTGCCTCTATGGCAAAGGTATGAACTGGGCCCTCGCTGGAAATTGCACTTTATAGCATTAGGCATGACGTCAAGTTTCCCTTGTTCTCACAGGGCTCAGCAGTCCCAGTTTTAATAGAAAATCATTTTTATATAATCGAATTTCAACCAGTTTTAATGTAAAACAGTTCTACAAGCGAGCTTACGTAAACGAGGGCAAACCCGTGCCGCTGCTCTTGCGCCGACGCAGCCTGGTTGCCCTGCGTGGAGCCCCAGGCTGGGACCAGCCGAGCATCATCCAGCCTGGAGGGGTGCTTAAACCCCCACGCACCTCGGGTTGCACCGGGCCACCCCTTGGCCTGCGTCAGGTCCAATGTGGGGCAGTGGAATGCACATCTCTGAATGGGAGTGGGATTTCGGGCTGCTCCAAGGGCACCCCTGGCTCTCTGCGTTGGTAAACCGCGTTCACCGTGTGCCCGAGGCGCAGAGCACCACGAGAAGAAGTAGGGAAGGAAAGCGTTTCATACATACTTCGTCTTTGCCTCTTGCCCTTCGCCACTTTGCTGCTGCCCGTTAGATCCATGGAGCTTAGAAAAACCACCACCACAAACAGTCCAAGCTGCATAGTAACTCTCCAGCGCTGCAGCCCCTCCGTCGCAGGGTGGTCGGAGGAGCCCGCTCCGCAGCTGGGGATCTCTGTCTGCCGCTGCTAAAACGTCTCGGGCGGGATCAGAGCTGAGAGTCTCTGCGCGAAGCCCGGTGCAGGACCACATCCACAAACCACGCCAGCGCCAGCGAGCTTAGGTAGCAGGTAACATGGCTCTACCTTCATCCCCGTGAGGAGCGCAGGAGCTTGGCTCTAGTCCCATCGGGGGGCTCTGCCAGCGAGCGTTAGCTGCTTGCGGTTTCCAAGTGCGCTCGCAGGGACTGCAAAGGAAGAGGAGAACAGATTAACTCAACAGCCGACATCGTTCCCGGAATGGTTGGGCTCGGCACCGCAGCGGGCAAGCACGGAAGCTGTGGGGTGAACCGGGGGAGCCGCACATAGAGGGTGCAGGCAGACGGTGGCCCCCGGAGTGGGGCGAACCGCCCCCCAACCTCATCCATAAGTCACTGCGTTGCTCAATAACCGAGCGCGCGCCGCAGCGCCCGACGCGGCTTTGCCATCAGCCGACGCTGCGTACGGCTCGAGCTGGAAGTTGTTTAGAAGAGTGCCAGTCCCCCCTCGGCCGCCCCTCCTCGAGGAGCAGATGGCCTCTGCGCGCTGCCAAGCGCACAAGATGTTTCCCATCAAGTGGGCACCTCTGGGGCTGGTCGTCGAGCCGAGCAGAAAGCGAGCTGCAGCCCCAAAGCCGGAGCCGGGGCTGTCTGGGGACAGGGCGGGATCGTCCAGCGAGCTGCCCAAAACAGCGCGCTCCTGCTCGGAGGGAATTTCCAAACCTCCCAGTTCCCATTGCCCCGGAGCGGCAGGGAAGGGTCAGCGCTGCCTGTGCACGGTGAGATGCCCAATTGCTTTGCATGAGAGTCTTGGAGTGCAAAGGGAAGACCAGTGCGGCAGCAAGATGTTGGATGGCAACCAGGGCTGCAGTGGGAGCCACCGTGTGCCCTGTCCTCGCCCTGGAGCATCCAATTCCTTGCTCCTGCTCCAGGGCAGAGGCAGTGCAGGCAGGGCCGGTGCGGAGCAGTGTGATGCTCTGTGGCTGGTGGGAAGGAAGGGCAACCTCTGGGCTGCACCAAGAGCTCTGGCACTGCCAGGCAGAGCCGTGCTCCTCTCTGCAGCTGGCAGAGGGAAGCCCTGCCAATGGCTGCCATTGTGTGGGAATACAGGCGACAACATTCACTCTGTGAACTCAAATGAAACAGAAAATGGGTATAATCCCTTTATAATAACTGCGCAGCCACCGATGCCCCAAACGGCCAACAGTGATGGTGCTGGAACGAGGCCCGGCTGCAGCCTGTCTGTATGACAGACGTGGGCCCTGGGGTTCCAGGCCCTTTCCATGCCCACCATGGGGTGGCCAAAGTTGGTTATGGCCACAGCAGCAAAACACCTGGTGAGAGAGGGCTGCCCGCAGCATCCCGACTCAGCTGCTGAAGGGGGATGTGACCGGGTACCACTGAGCCTTGCAGCAGCACGCGCTTCGATGCCAAGATGTGACCCCGAGCGGGCACCTTGTGGCAGCTTTGGCTCACGTGCACCCCAATGCCTTTGACCTCTTCGTGTCCCTGCAGTGATTGCGGCGCGCTGCTGGCGCAGGAGCACAGCGCTGCCCATGTGCTTGTCCTTACAGCCCCCAGCCCAGCCGCAGGGGTCTCCAATACGTAATGAGTTGCTTGTGTAAGCACGGACTCGTTCTGCACCTCCAGGGCTGTTTGCTGCGAGCTGCTTTATAAACACTGGCAAGTGCTTGAGCTGGGCTGTTGGGAGCGTTGAGCAGAGCGCAGAGGGGATCCCAACCCCAGCCCCGCAGCCTCCCTCCGCACCCTGCTGATGTGCAGGGACCTGGGGTGAAGCAGCCAGGAGAGGAAGGATCTTGCAGATGGATGGCAATGCACAGCATGGCAATGCACAGCGTGGCACAGACAGAGGGGGCCCCATGGGTGCTACCTGGTGTGCGCAGAGCAGCGTCCCTAAATGAGTGCCGAGCGCCAGCAGCTCTGGAGGGAGCACGGTGCTGCCCCTTGCTTTAATTACAGCGGTTACAGGTGAAGCGCAGTCACAACAAGCACAGGCTGAACCTGCCCCGGGTGTTGACACAACACTCACAGTTTGGGCAAAGTCCCCTCGGGGTGGGGACAGCAGCAGGGATATTCGGATGGAGCAAACACAGCCCCGGCCTGCCAAGAGCCAGCGTGGAGCTTGTGCTGCCTCCACAGACCCCGTCTCTCAGGGCTCGCTCAGTGCGAGGGCAGGGAGGTGCCATGGGAAACAAGCACCCACTTTTCCCTCCTTGTTTCCTTGCTTTCTAGCCCAAAGACAGCCGCAGCTGCCCGCTCAGCACAGGAAAGCTCCCTGCATCCTGGATGCTGCCCATTAGCACGATCCCCGTGTTTCAACACTTCCCTGCAAGCACCCAGGGTCTGCAGCGTGCCCACCAGCGGAGGCTGCAGCACAAGGGCCGGGCTTCCAGCTCTTCCCACCCTCACCTCAGGACACAGATTATGCCTCTTTCAGCTATTGCAGCCATCGGTCAAGCTCAGGTTGCTGCAAACAATTTCCAGTCTAAACATGAGCAGGATTTATGCCATTATCCCATCGACAGGAAGGATTTGGGATAACCTGAGTTGCTCTGAATTCATTACTGGAGGGACCTGGCCCCTGCATCCGAGATGACAGTAAGCCTTGTTTGCAGTTCCATCAGGATAAATTGGTCCTTGGGAGCTCCAATGCAAGCCAGAAAATGTAAACCATCCAGATAATTTACCATTAGTCCTCCTACACACAAGGTGAGAAAGACCAACATTATATCCCCAGGATATTCAAGACCTAATCCTCAATAACTAAATTGCTGATATATTGCCTCTTGCTGAAGGTATCAGGCTAGCCATAATGTAAACGGGCTCTCCAAAGCTTTCCTGCGTCTGGGAGAGAAGGACCAGATGCTTGTGTGAGGGCTGGAGGCAGGACCAAGTCTGATTGCAGCAGCAGCAGTAATGAACCCCCAGGAAGTGCCAGGTCTGCTGCCAGCAGCGTCTGGGCATCAGCTCTGAGCACAGGGGGATTGGGGCTTACAGGGCCTGGGGCTGGGTAGAGAACTTGAATTTCACCTTGGCAGTCTATCGAGGGGTATCTTGTATGTCTTGAATAAGCAAGAACAGGTCTCAGAAGTGTCTTTGCCTGCAGGAGCTGGGGTTTCGCAGGGTTTCACCAGGGTTGGTTTGGTGGCAGCAGCATCTCAGCCCCAGGAAAGGCTCCAGGGAGGTTGGTTGTTGTGGTAGCAACCAGCAGATTCCCCAACCTGCCTTTAAGTTTCTATCGAGCTCCTCAAATAATGACAATGGCATTGGATCTGTATCAGAGGTGCAGGGAGGGGAGCGGGAGGAGGAAGAGAAGGAGGAAATGAGAGCAGGCTGCTATGGAGAGGAGGACCACGAGGATGGGGTCTGTGGGGCACATAGTGGTCCTCGCCCCAGGCACAATGAGCCAGCCAGAGCAGGGGGACAAATCCCAGTGGGTACCACAGGAGAGGTAAAGGAGACCATGCAGGGGCAGGAGGGGACCAGCATCAGGACCAGCCATCCCATCCAAGGGTGGTTCAGCTCCCCAGTGCCCACCAAATCCCCTGGCCAGTGTCCAGCAGCAGCAGGATGGGGCGATGCTGGTGCAGGGATCAGGAGGCACAGCTGCCACCGTGAGCCCCTGCACCCTCCACAGTCCAGCCCTGCCCTGGAGAGCATCCGAGCTGCTCCTCCAGCACTGCTGAGCCTCGGAGGTGGGACACAGCCAGCAGGAGAGGAGGCATCTTTCAGACAAGCAGGAGCCCACACACACGCACGTTTATCTCTCTGTGTGCCTTGCCCTCCCTTGGCAAAAGCCTCCGGCAGGCAAAGCTTCCCGAAGAGAAGCTTGCAGCCCCACGTGTGCCTGTGCAGCTCCCCAGCCCAGCGAGGGAGCAGAGCCAGCAGGCTCCCAAGTGCACATCCTCCCTTGTTCCCCAGCACCAGGAGACACGGGTGTCAGGAGCCAGCCTCGGGGGGGTGTGGAGCAGGAGCCTCATCCAGTTGGAGCATCTCCAGTGCTGGCCTCATTGGGCAGCAGCAAGGGAAAGGGGCAAAGAGGTGAGCACTGAGGAGTGGCTCCTCGGCACAAAACCCCACCGGGCCAGGGCTGCACAGGAGCTGCAAGCTGGGATGCCGAAGGACCAGCAGTACCAAGCCCACACCTCATTCAGCCCTGTGGCACTGTTAGTCCTATTTCCAGGCACACGAAGATGGAGGCAATGCTTGTGCTTCCCCAACACAATGTCTCTGCACTGCCTGCATGGTCCTGCCTGCTCTGAGTGACCCCCATACCTGCAGCTCCCTGTCTGCTCTGCACTGGGAGGAAGGCAGTGCAGAACCACAGGGAGCAGGGTTGGGAATTCTCTTTGGGAAAGTCTCCCCTTCCTGCTATCATTCCAAGCAGTGTTTCATAGAATCATAGAAACAACCAGGTTGGAGAACACCTTTAAGATGACCGAGTCCAACCTTTACCCCTAAACCCTGTCACTGAGGACTTGTCCCTGCTGTCAAGGCACAGACAACGCTGTAGGAGCATGTGAAACCCTGCGTGAAAGCAGGTCCCATGCACGCACGGCTCGGTCATCGCGCCTGCCACAGGGTGTCTCACGCTCCTCCAGCCGGCAAGCATCTCTGCACATGCACAGGCAGAGCCACTTTGTTCTGCTTAATCCTTGAAGCAATAAAAGCAGGCTGCATTAAGTCACATTTCCGAAGCAGAAGGTCTTCATTTGAGCCCCTCCCCGAGCGCCAAGTTCTGCAGGATCCCCAACCCATCAACTGCGCTGAGAGAAATGAAATCATAAAAGCCAATCTGGCAGCAGAGTTCTCCGCAGCATTGTTGAGGTCTGACTCCTTCCACCAGCTTCTGCGCTGCATTCCCCGGATCTGCGGAGCCGTGCTGAGAGCTGCTAATGGGGAATACACTGAGGAGAGGCTCCTGCCCCTGGCCACCCCTCTGTCTCAGCCTGGAGCATGGAGATGCTCCAGGGTTCTGCTATAGGAGCACCCCTGCTCCTTGCTCCGCTCCTTGCGCAGTGCCTGGCACAGTAGCTGCTCCGAGTAATGCTGTGATTAAGAGTGCCACAGGCCTCTCTCCGGGAGCGCTTGTGCTCCAGCATTGTAAAACATCAGGAAATCTTTTACTGGGGGATTTCCATTACCCTCTTGCTGGAGCAGAGAGGCTGCGTGCTGGGCTGCAGGAGAAGGAAGCAGCGAAGCCCCGGAGCAGGCGCTGGAGTCATCCCGGCAGGAACAGCTCCAGTGCCACAGAGCTGCTTGGGGATTTAGGCGCAGTCACTGATAAAGCAAGCCTATTCCTATGAGGTGCAACGTGAGGCAGGTTTAAGCCTCCACAGTTCAATAGCCCACTTACCAAATGCCAACCAGGGACAAATCGTACTAAACCGGCAGGAGCCAAAGCGAATTTCAGACCAGGAACTGCAAACCGGTCCATTTCAGAGCATCACCCAAAACCTTGCTCTTCTACCAAAAGGGCTCCTCACCAACCCTAAAAGCCCTATTGCCATGCAGGGGTGTGCTCAGCAGAGGTGCAGAGTACAGCCCCAACTCCTGGAAACCCTGAGTGTGCCAGCAGGAGGGTCTGATGCAGCACAGCCGGGGCTGCTGAGGCTCTCATCCCATTGGAGTGTGCACACATTCGGCTCAATACCCAATTCCCCCCTTTTTCCAGTATAAACGAAGGGCTTACAGCAGCCTTCCACATCTCTAAACGCAGCCTTTCTGAAAGCAGTTCCCAGGGCTTACAGGAGTAGCCTCAAGCTGCTGTGCTAAGCCCCTTCTCCGGGCAAAACCAGAGACCAAGACCCTAAACAGCCCCCGGGGCCTTCTGCTTGGCCATGTGCAAAGGAAGCATCTGCCAAGTGTGAGCTTCCTGCAGGGATTCCCGGTGAACGTCACTGGGAAACCTGAGCCCCACAGAGCCAGGAGCACTGATTTCAGCAGCAGGAGCAAACCCAAGTGGGACAAATAACCGGGAGGCTCAGCTTTGGGCATGGGGCAGGGCAGGACCAGCTGGAACAAGCACAAGCTCTGCCTCTTTAAGAGGTAACAGCATCCAGGTCAGAGGGAGCAAGCTCTGAGCTCTGGCATCACTCAGGGTGGTTTGCCATGAAGCCCATCCTACAGCTGGTCCACAGCACCTGGCTGCAACCCCAAAGGATCATCCTCAGAGGCAGGTTGTGATAGGTACGGCTGGAAGGCTGGGTATGTGTTCATAGAACCATAGCATCCCAGCTTGGTTTAGGTTGGAAGGGACCTTAAAGCTCCTCCAGCTCCAACCCCTGCCACGGGCAGGGACCCCTTCCACTGGAGCAGCTTGCTCCAAGCCCCTGTGTCCAACCTGGCCTTGAACACTGCCAGGGATGGGGCAGCCACAGCTTCTCTGGGCACCCTGTGCCAGCGCCTCAGCACCCTCACAGGGAAGAGCTTCTGCCTCAGAGCTCATCTCAGTCTCCCTTCGGGCAGGTTAAAGCCATTCCCTACAGGCCCTTGTCCAAAGCCCCTCTCCAGGTTTCTTGTAGGCCCCCTTTAGCTATTGGAAGGCTGTTGTAAGGTCTCCTCTGAGCCTTCTCCAGGCTCACCCAGCCCAGCTCTCTCAGCCTGGCTCCAGAGCAGAGCTGCTCCAGCCCTTGGAGCATCTCCATGGCCTCCTCTGAACTCACTCAAGCAGCTCCACATCCCTCTTGTGCTGGGAGCCCCAGAGCTGAACTCAGGACTACAGAGGGGGCAGTGTCAGGCAAAGACAGCACTTCCCTCCCCGAGCAGAGGACAGGTTGTGCTCAGACAGCCCTGGGGAAGGTGTCTCTGCCTTCCATCCCCTGCCTCTCTTGCCTGCATGGTCCCCACTATGCTCAAAGCCCAGGGATGACCTGACCCCAGTTCCCTGCAGCCTCACAGCCCCATAGAGCAGATGCCAGCTCAAATGAACCTCGGGTGATAGCAATGTGAGGTTTATGCTCTGCCTTTGCCTGTGCTCAGGGGGTCACATCCGTGCCCCTGCACCCTGAGCTCGCTCCCTGCTGTGTCCCTCAGGGTGGTGCTGCTGCTCTCGCAGCGGCTGCGGAGCTGATCCAGCTGAAAGGAGCCTTTTTTCCAGGGTGGTTTCCAGGCCCGCTGGGAATTCTGCCCTGCTCCCACCCAAACCCACGGCCCTGGCCCTGCAGTGGGGATCGGGTGCACCATGGAAGTCCATGGATGGACTTTGAACAAAGTCATTCCCGTTGGAGAACGCTCCAGGCTGATGTTTCAGGGGATTCCTGTGGGATCTCAGCATAAACCTGGCCACCACAGCAGCGCTGTAAGCGCTGCCCCTGGTTCAGAGACCTCCAGGTAACAAGGGTTTTTGCACTGGAACCCACCAAGCCCCATTCATTCAGGAGCGTGAAGGCTCCAGGCCTGCCATGGTGAGCAGCGTTTGCTTTGGCTGGTATTGCCCTGTTTTAATGCCTTTTACTGGAAGACACCCCTCCAAACCCAAAGCACATCACCTGAGCACCCCTCATCCATCCCCAGGACCATTCAAGGAAACACCTACAAGAAACCCCATCAGTGCAGGGGTGCCCATTCCCCAGCTGCCTGCACCCACGTCTCGCAGCACCCTGGCTCAGAGGATCAAGAGGACAGAGGCTGAAACATCACCTTGTCAGGGAGCCGCATCCCCGCCTGGCTGCGGGAGCACACCGCGGGCTGCCCCGATCCCTCGCTAACCCACCGGCTCAGCAGCCCAGCACCGAGATCCAGCAGCGCATCAAGGTGGGGTGTTAACGCACAGCTCTCACCATTACCGGGATCACTGTTAAACCCTTTCCTTCCCCACTGATCCCGCAGGGAGTCCGTACTTACCCCGCGCTCTCCGGGTGCCCGCCGTGCCCCCATGGGTGCCGTCCTCTGCGGGGTGCAGCCGCAGGGATGCTGAGCCTGCTCAACCGCCCCGTCCCCTCATTGCTCAGCTGCGGGCGCGCTCCCGTCTCTCTGGCAGCCAGCGGGGAAGCAGGCAGGGCACTGCCGCCCCTGCGCTGCGCTCGGCGGGACCCTGGGGCTGATCCAGGTCCAGCAGCGAGCTCCAGCGAACGGATCAATGGTGCCCCCAGCTCCCCGTGCCCCCTTCCCCGCTCCGGGGAGGCAGAACAGCGGGCAGGGGCCAGCGTGCAGCAGCCCAGCCTCCCGCAAAGCCCCCCGCACACCTTGGGAAGGGGCGGGGGAGACGGGGATCGCGACAGATCGCGCTGTGATTCCTCACAGCTCTCATTGTCTGGACTCATTACCCACATTGCACAAGGCAAACCCGCAAGTCGGATGCTGACAAGGCTGGCGCTCCTCATTAGCAGCCCGCATTGCAAAAGCTTCATCTAAACAAGCCCGCATTCGGAAACCCTTACCTCTGACTTGTCACTCCCTCATCCCTGCTGAAAAGGCTCTACGGGTGCCTCAGGTTTAAACCACTACAAGCCCAACTACAAAAATCCTCGGCTCCTCCAGATAAAGTTACACGCACGTTTCTGTCAAAAACAATGAGGAATCGATGCATGGCGAGTTCATGGAGCGGTCTGGTGCGTTTGGGGCCGGGGCTTTGGTTCACTTGCTTTCCTAAAGCAGGTTTCTAACAGCTTCGCAGAGGAACAAACCCTTCAGTGATGTGCAGGTTTTCAGCTCGTAAAGATCGCCCAGGCTAGTTCCTACTCCATCAGCCCACGCTGCTCCCTGCGTATGCAAAGCAGAAAGTATGTGATCATATCAGAGCGATTTGCACATTAATAAATCCTGGTCTCAATGCCGTAGACTCCATCCCCATCCACCGGGTAGGGGCTTTTTATTATTATTATTACCAGAGTATCCAGCTTTGTAAAGGCATCTAGTGCAAACTCCTGCATGAGGGAATTCCACCCCACTAGTACCACCTCCTAAGACAATATCCAGCCAAAATATTGTGACTGTTGCAAAACCCGGACTGGAGCTCCACAAAGGACCTTCCAGTGTTGCTTGCAGAGCCAACAGGGTCTCGGTGAATTACTGCAGAATGACACACCATCTAGTTGCCTTTGTAGTCTGCTTTATTTATGACACTTAATTCCAAGTTATTACTAACATTTCAGTGGTAACTGGCACATGAAGTCATCGGCTGTCACAACTGCATCTGTTAATAAACATGTCAAATATTAAAAGCAGCTTATTATCCTCTGGAGCGGGGAAAGCACTAAGGCAAAGGGCTTCAAAGCCTGGATATTTTTCCATCTCTGGCTCTGCAGCAGGAGGAAACGCTCACGCTCAGGAAAGCAGCGTGACTGCGGTGGGGCTGGCCTGGGATACCTGCCCCTCGTCACACCTGAGCAGCACGGGAGCTTTCCTCCTGCTGCTGCTGTCAGCTGCCTTTCCCTTCTCCGATGGGATGTGGGATGGACCCCAGCTTCACGTGGGTGCATAGGGGAACACAGGAGTAGCCCCAGTGTGCTGCTCCCCCATAGAGGAGGCAGAAGGGCCCCAGCCACTGGGGAGCTGGGGGGAGATGAAGGCCCCCATCCCTTCTCATGCCCCCTGCACTGCAGGCTCAGGCAGGGAGCTGGTGCTCCTGGGACACGTGCCATGGGACACATGGAGCCGTGCTGGACCTTGTCCCACTGTCTCTCTGCACAAGCCATTAATAGGAATTGGTGTCTGCCCACTTCTCAAGTGGCTGCAGCACCGTGTGGGTCCCTCTGCGTGACTGACTGACCCTCATCCCTGGCTCTTGTGGGGCCGATGCAATGCCCATGGCCATGGGGCTCTGACAATGCAGCTCTGGTACCCTGATGGGTGCATGGCTGGGTGGCAAGCTGCTGGCCAGCCTCTGGGCATGCTGTCAGTGTCCTGGGGATGGGGTTTGCTTCCCTTCAGCTCCCCCAAGAACCCAGATAGCACAAGCAGGTTGTATGTTCCTGATCTGCAGCGTCAGGGCTCACTCCCACCCAAGAGATGCAGTGAGAGGGGTGCCACATCCTCCCTTCCTTACCATTTCAGAGCATCCTCCTCAGTACATGAGGATGTTGTATGCCTTCTCCCTGCTTTGCTGAGCTACCCGTGCTCTTGGCCTCTGCAGCTGGCGAGGAGGCTGCTGCTTCTTCATGTTCACTTTCCCTCTCTTGGGAATCTCAGGCAGTAAGCTTGCCCTTCTCTAACACTTCCCTTGCCCCATTGCCTCTGGCTTTCTCTTGTGGAAGGTAATCCTCAGGCTTTCAAAGGGATGCTTCAAAGTCAGTGCCAGCATCTTCTAAACCCTCTACATGGCGTCTATTTGTCCATAACCATGTGGTTTACGTAAAGCCCAAACCAGTGCCCGGCAATGGGCAGGAAGCAGGGAGCTGCAGAGGGAGATGCACTGAAAGCATCATCTTTACCTTCCCCCCCTTTGTGTGTCAACGTCTCCAAGCACTGAACACGTTCCACTCTTTATTTTAGGTGTAAGATCCGCTCGAGCAGATGCCATAATTCTTCTGCAATGAGTAAAATTCTGTCTTGGTTTCCAAGTATTCCTAGGGACAGCCCAGGACAACGCGCTGATGGGTGAGACACCCATGCCAAGCAGGGTGACTCACTCTGCACTGCTTACTAAAGTCTTGAAGCAACGAGGAGCAGCAGTATCTGCACTTGGTCCTCCCCAAGCTCACAGGGCTCCTAGCTGGACTCCAGAGGGCACAGGCTCTTTAAAGGGCTGTGCTGGGTCCTGAATCCCACTGTGGGTCCCATGCTGGAGAGATGGGGCAGGTCCCCTTTGATTTCTGCTGCCCACAGGTCCCTGCTAAGGTCTCTGAGCATCCCCAGCAGAGCGCTCTGTGAGCTGGCAGCCCTGAGGAAGAGGAGAGCAAGGGTGTGGGACCTGGCATAGAACAGCCCCCCGGATACACAGGTTTGGAGGATCTCCTGGGTCTGTGTTATTCACACCCTTGGAATCACCTCTGCTTACACAGCGCTTGCATGGGAGCAGGTATCAACACAAAGATGCAAAATAACCCAGAACAGGCAAGAAGGAGAATTCACCCTTCCAGCTTCCCCTTTGCGTTGTGCTTGTGTTAACACACGTGTGTATGGAGGGTTTATTCACCCGGAAGTTTCTTTGGCACCTCGCTAAAGGTCCCTGCTTTCCTGCTTGCAAATGATATCTTCTGAGGTCGTTGCTCTCTCACAGGAGCATTGGGGAATGTGTTTTGAACACTGGGCAGATGCTGAGCAGTCACTGTGGCAAATCTCCATTTTAAAGACCTTTTTCTCTTTCGATTTGGAGCTTTTTCACTTTCTAGTCTAGGGTATTCTGAAGTCCCGTCGAATGAGGCTCTGGGACAGCATCACTGTGTTGGCTGTAAGAGTGAAACCCCTAATGAGCCAAAGACCTTGTGTTTGACACTTGCCTTGAACAGCCAAACCTTTTCCTTCCTCCTCTCTCTCAGAGCACTGCAGCTCCAGTTGACGGCTGTAGATCAAGTTTCCGTCTGGAGCAAATGTTTATAACTGAGCAATAAACCCTAAAGACAGAGCTTTAAAATGGGAATGCTGACAAACCCAGCCGGAAGAGCAGGGCTACTGGACACGTCAATAATTAGTGCAGAGAGAAGCGTATCTGACTGCAGGCAAGGGCGCTTGCCAGCTCCCTGGTGTTGGAAGGTATCATTGCAGAGGACAGTAAATCACACTAAATCCTGCCTTAACACCCTCCACAATAAAAGCAGCACCAAGTCCCACATTTCTTCCCCTTCTGGCAGGCAGCTCATTTACCCGTTTGGTTTGCTTTAGCTAATGGCTGTTAAGGCTGATCCTAAATTAATCCTAAACAGGTTGTTTCCCTCTTGTACAAAAGAATGTGGAATTCCACATTGGAGCAGGGTAGAAAAGCCAAGCGGCTCCAGATTGGGAGCAGAGCTGCTGGCTTGGGAGGTTTTCCTTCTGCCCACAGAAGTGCTCACTGAGCAGGTACCCGGCAGCCTGGGCTCCTCCAGCCATGCTGTGGTGGCAGTGCCAGCGCCCGGTGTGGTACCCAGGGAGCATCGTCCACAGCCATCATCCTGCATGGGGGAAAGGGGTGGGCAAAGGCTGCCTGAATTCACCACTTTTGGCCACATTAGGTGGAAAAGCAAGCAGCAGGTCTAATCCTGCACTACAGGTATCCGGTCACCCACTGTGGGTGACTCTGCCTGTTCAGCACCAGCCTTTCCCTGGCTGGCTCTGTGTCCTGTTCTGCACAAAGCCAAAGGGAGCAGAGGAGGACCCCCGACATCCCCCAACCCCACCATTCGAGCACATGGTTCCCCTCCCCATTAAAAACCTGCTGGTTTTTGCTCTGAGTTCCTCCCTCTCCATCTCCTGCCCTGCATCCTCCTCTGCTTCAATCAGCCAAGGAAAAGGCCTCTCCTCCATGGAAAGCCCACCCTGCCCAGGGACCACGGGGACTTCCAGGCTGGGACTGAGCTGCCAGGAGCTGCATCCCTCAGCCTGTATGGATGCAGGCAGTGGGGTTGCATCCAGCAGCTCCTGCCCTGAGCACCACAGCTTCTGTCAGACCCAGGGCTCCTGACGTTAACCCTGTGTGCAGAGGCAGGTACCAGTGCCTACAAGTTCTCAGCTGGCACAGAGGGTGCATTACTCATCCCCGGTGCCTCATCAGCCTGTGATAATATCTCAGTATAAGCAAAAAGCAAGCGAGACGCTCGCCGAGAAAGCAGAAGGAAAGCAAGAACATCCTGAAGTTGTCTCTGACGCTCCCCTGCTCCCCTGCACCCTGCTTTCACACAGAAGGCTTATCTCCTGCAGCATGATTGATAGCCTGGGCAACAGCATCCCAACACCTGCGGTCCTGGCTCCCCAGCAATGCAGTTATCCCAAGCGCCGAGCTTGCTGCACAAACAAGTGCTCTGGTTGCAAAGACAACTATCGAGTTCCTGAGGCAGGCTGCACAAGCAGTGCTGGGGGGTCAGGCACGGGGGCACGCAGGATCATGCCTTCCATGGGGAGACAAGAGGAACGGGAGTGATCCTGATAGGATCACCCGGGCATGCCTCTTCTCCTTATGCAGAGCAAGCAAGCCTGGGTTTTCACAGGGCGACGCTGCTTCCTAGCCTTGCTCCGGCAGTGGCCGTGCTGGGATGCGCGTGTCCCTCCAGGAATAGCCCTGGGGAGGTCACCCCGACTTTGGTGCTGAGCCAGGGAAATGCTGTGAAATGAAGGCAGAGCGAGATCCACGCACCCCATGTGTCATGGGCAGCCTGCCTGCACCCCCCGTGCTGCCCAAGGCAGGTCAGGAGGGGTCTGGCAGGACCTGCTCCCTTTGTGCTCCCGAGGAACAGGGCAGGGAGGGAGCTCCCATGTGTGTCCCAGGGAGCTGCCCTGCTCTTCAAGATCTCCTTCGCTGCCTGCCGGGTTTCCTGACACTGCACCCCATGCAGGCTTGGACATTCTGCCTCTTTGCAAGGAGCGATGCTATGCGCATGTTGGGAAATGCTCCTTTCTCATTCGCTCCCAAGGCCCTTTTTCCCCTGTTGTTTGAGGAATGCTGTTTGAATTAGCTCCACGGATTGCAAACAGACCCCGTTGTTTTCCTTTCCCAATGCAGGGAGGCTTCTGTTCTCTTTGGCCTGCTGGATTAACCGGGGGGCCTTACACGCTGACCCCTCTGCAGCTCAGGGAAGCTAATTTAATCCCAATATTGTTACAGATCACAGCAGGACGAATCTCACGGATTCCTTGAGGCAAACGAGCTCCGAGCTCCGGCAGGGACAGCAGCACACGGTGCTTGCAGAGGCAGGAGCTGCTACAGCTTTTCCTATGCAGTTGCCTTTACACAAGTTCGGATGCTGGGGAGGAGGGCAGCGGTGATGGGGCAGTGAGGGCACCCTGGGTACCAGCATCCCACCTGCATCCCGCAGCATCCGCT